TTTTAAATTCTATGTAATTCGAGCTTGCTACTAAAATTCTTTCTTTTTTTAATTTTATTATACTTTTTTGGGGTTTTTTCACAACTATTCGTGATATAATATATTTTTTAATTCTGATGAGCAAAATTAAAAATTATGATTTTAAAAATAAAAAATTATAAAATTAAAGATTTTTTTAAAGTAGTAAATATTTGATGAATATACTGGTATTTGAAATAAAATTTTGATAATTTTGAGACATCTATTACTGGTTGTTCAGGAATACATTTTACTTTTGGTCTTAATCGTGATGATTCTTCTACCAATTGTTTGTACATATCCCATGTTTTTAATTTTGGTAATTCTACTGTTAATTCACTGGGATGAACGTCTAAAATATTTATATTTCAGAAAAAGATATAATTACAAAATAGTTATATTTCTTCAATTTTAAACCTAGATCTTCTTCTTTTTCTTCTTCATCAAAATCAATGTCGATAGACTTTGGTTCATCATATTTAGGCTCCAAGTCCTTTTGAATGTGTTGTTTTAATGCTTGTATTTGAACTGGACAAGCATCTTTTAATTTATTTTTATAAGACTATAAAAATAATTCTTATTTCAATATTTTTGTATAATACTTTGATTTCTTAAAAATATCAAGATACTAACATAGAGTAAAATATTTGATTTATGTTGTAGAACTATATTTTTTTGAGCAGTTTTAACAAAGCTGTACGACATTTTCCAATCATGATTCCTGGATTGTAATCTTTGAAGTCTTCTTTGAATAAATTGTGCATATTTATTTTTGTCCATATTATTATTATCCATATTGATAAAACTTTCAGGATTCATTTTCTGAAAAAAAAATTTGTAAATGAAATTTTTATTATCATTAACAAATGAATAGCATTGCATGCTATTTCGTTTCAAACGTAAGAAAATATATACATTGTGATTAAGAAATAAATGATCAAAACTTAGTAATGAATAATTAAGTAAAAATACATAGATTAATTTTAAGACTATGATTTATTTGGAAACAATTTTTTTTATATAAAGGTTTAGAGAATGAAGTTCTATGTACAAAAGGATTACATTAGTAAAATACTAGGATTTTATATTCCTGGCCATACTTCGTGCAAAATAGTTTCTTTTTATACTGAGATATAATTAATAATAGTTCTTGTTTCGTGCAGTTTTTTCTTTTTTATTTTATTGCGAGTCTTAGACTGCTTATAATTAAACGCTTGAATCTAGTTTAACCCTATATTAGATATTAAAATCCACGAAAATGTCCGATTTCGCTTAACGTGCCTGCGATTTAATCACAATAAGGTACACTTATTTATATTTATTATCCGTAATTCATGAATATAAAGAATTCATGTTTCTTCGTTTTAAATTTCATATACATATACATGTATGTATAATTGTTTGTTTAATACGCATAAATATTATATGCATTTTTTCTAAAATGTTTTTTTTTTTTTTCGTTTCTTCCACGTGTACTTATGACATTATAGATTACGCTTTGTACAATCTAATAATACAAACAAGCGAAAAAGATCTCACAGATTCTTAATGTTGTCATGTCTACAACGTATTATATCGCGTGTACAATAAATCCATCAATTTTTACATAAATCTCTTCGTCTTAACATATAAAAAATTAATACACCTTTCTTTCTCAAAAGTATATGTTTCATAAAAGCGGTCATTGTGTTATAAGCATTGTAGAAAATAAATCTTCGATTAATTGTATGTATAACTATCGAGCAACCTGGAAAGGAATGGGAGCTTGATAATAATGAGACGCGCGTGATGTTCCATTAAACAACACTGTATTTTTCGTTCTTTTTTTTTTTTTTTTTTTT